GGTCGCCCTCGCGTGGCTACGTCAACACCCTGCTTGATGGCAGACATTCGTAGCCAATCGCGTGTTCGAAATACAGAGCAACCTTCCTGAGGCTCTCTGGAATCATGTATCGTCGCACGACAACCCCGCCGATTGTGCCTCGCGCGGTCTCTCGGCGGAAGAACTGTCCTCTCACCGTCTGTGGTGGGCAGGCCCAACGTGGCTTGCCGAGTCGTCCACGTACCGGCCGCTTAAAGAGAGCTCACTCTCTTTAAATCACGATACGAAATCAATATACGAGTATGTCAACCCGCCTCCGAGGAGGCTCGCGCTCCCATCGTCCTCCACGTCGAGAGCAAGGACGAGTGGGATCTAGTCCACAAATTTTCAACGTGGACTAAACTGGTTAGAGTCACGGCTTACATACTCCGGTTCGTTTCGAAACTAAAAGGAAGGACTCTCGCGAGTCCGTCGCTCGCAATTACAGCGTCAGAGTTTCGCGATGCCGAGTCCTTCTGGTTCCGCTACGTGCAAAATTTAGAATTTGAGTCGGAGCTCAAAGCATTGAGAAAAGGGTTGAGTCTCTCTCGATCAACCCCCCTCAGGACTCTGCATCCATTTCTAGACGCGAATGCATTACTCCGTCTTGTCGGGCGGTTGCAAAACACCGCCCTAGCCTATGAAGAACAGCACCCGATAGTGCTTCCTCGACATCACATCACTGACCTATTGATCCAGCGCGCTCACAAAGGGTCCCACGCTGCACGGTGGGACGCAGCTGGTCATTCGCACACTACGTCAGCGATATTGGATCATCGGTTGTCGGAAAGCGGTGAAATTTCACGTGCACGCGTGCGTTACGTGCACGCGTCACTCCGCGATACCTTGCTCCCAACTCATGGGGGAGCTTCCCGCCGCTCGAGTTAATCCGTCGCCGCCGTTCGCACATACCGGCGTGGACTACGCCGGTCCATTTAATATTCTCCCGTTCGTCGGGCGCGGGCAGAAGACCCGAAAACATTACGTCGCTTTATTCGTCTGTCTGGCCACGCGAGCCGTGCACCTCGAAATGGTTGAGGATTATTCCGCTGACGGATTCCTGTCCGCGTTCCGCAGATTTTCGAGTCGCCGTGGGTTACCGCGTCGCATGTACAGCGATAACGGCACCAACTTCCATGGCGCCGATCGTGAACTCCAACGGCAATTCCAATCAATGATGCACGATCCTGCGATACGGGATGCCATAGCCGTCGACAAAGTCGACTGGGAGTTTATCCCGTCGGCCGCTCCGCATTTCGGCGGCCTGTGGGAGGCCGGAGTGAAGAGCTTCAAAGGCCATCTGAGGCGAGCCATCGGGGCTCACACGATCTCGCGGGCTGAATTTGCGACACTTCTTTGTCAGATCGAGGCATGTCTGAATTCCCGACCGATTGCTGCTCTTAGCGACGACCCTAGCGATATGTCCGCGCTCACACCCGGACACTTCTTAATCGGGCAACCGTTAATCGCCGGGCCGGAAGAGTCCGTACTCGAGATCAACGCGGATCGCCTTTCCCGCTGGCAGCTCGTCAGCTCCATGCGGGAGCAATTCTGGCGCGCCTGATCGCGCGACTATCTGTCGTCGCTTCAGGCCAGAACCAAGTGGCGAAACGCCGCCTCCAATCTAAAGGTCGGTGAGCTGGTGATTGTGAAAAATCCCTTGCTCCCTCCGAGCAAGTGGGATCTCGCGAGGATTGAACGCGTTCACCCTGGGTCCGATGGACTCGTTCGCGTTGTTACAATCCGCTCCGAGCGCTCTCGCCTGAAGCGACCGATAACTCAGTTGTGCAAACTTCCGA